GGGAACCTTCACCACCTTGGTCCTGTGGTGCTCCAGAAGCCCCAGTGACTTCTGGATAAAAGGAAGGATACGATGGCAGGAGATAGCAGGTGTTTTGGGAGAGTGTAAGTTCTGGAGGCAGGAAGAACACATTGCCTGCAGGGGGCATGCGGGTCAAGAGAGCTAGAAAGGAGCTGAGGTGAAAGGAAACGCCCTAGCCTGTGGTTAGATTTGATGACTGTTTGGGGTATTTAGTGTTCAGTGACCACCACAGTGAGGGTGTTTTCCAAGTCTCCTCAGCCCAACAACTCAGGTTCACATTCCTTTTCCTATGCAAGAGCATTTCCAAGATTCTGAGAGGAGAATGGAGGAGGGGAGATTGTGGCATGGCCATTACCCCTGGGGGGTGTTTCCTCACCATCTGTCTCTCTGTCTCAGTATTTCAGGTGAGCACACATGCCCTATAGTAAAAACCTCTCAAGAAAACAAAAACCAAAACCAAAACAAACAAACAAACAACAACAACAACAACAACAAAACAAAACAAAGAAAGAATGAAAGAAAAGAAAAAAAAGGAACATTCACCTTAAGGAATTTTTCACCAAAGTTCCATCTAATTTTACCTCAGTATTCCTTATTGCTACCTTTGTACGCTGGGCAATTAGATCTCTTTTTAATTTTTACTTTTCATATAGTTTTTAATTTTATTTATAACTATCCAAAAACCAAGTTTATTGAGGGGGTATAATGGAGAGTTAAGATATATGAATAGATTGTCTAAATATTTGATGAAGCCGATTAACATACCAGTTCCCTCACATGCTTCATATATCTGTAAGAATATGTAACTGGTCCTTTTGTAGCCAATATGAAATATGCAATATATTGTCCATAGCAGAGTCTTTGCATGCGAATCTTCGTGTCTAACTGAAGTTTATATCCTTTTTCTAGTATCTCTCTTTTCCCAATCCCCATACCTCACCCCCAGTCTATTGTAACCATCTTTCTACTCCGGACTTATTGAGTTGGACGTTGAGCGTCTACATAAAGTTGAGGTCACAAACATTCCATTTTTCAAAATACTAAGTGTCTTCTCTCCGCTATGAGAGATTCTTTTGCGCTCAAGAATATCTATATCCTTTTGACAAGCATGAATCCATTGATATTTATGTGGCATCAAGCGGTTATGTTACTCAGTTCTCCCTCCACAATGTGTTTGTCTCTCTCTCTATATATATACGTAGACAAGTCTAGCTGAGAACGATAAACTTTCATACACCCATGGCTTGTAACTTTAGATATCCAGTCCCCTGGGAAGCTAAGATGGAGAACAGGGAGGGAAAGCAGTCCACCTGTTACCCTGATGTAGATAGCATCAGTAAAATACACAGCAATGTTGACACCTGCATGTCATCTCTTTGTGTTTATTTTCCTGGGTGTGCTGGTTCCAAAATGACATATCCTCAGGCATTTTGCTTTGCTTCCTTTCATCCCAGGTGCATCAAATCAGGAAGGGCAACACCCACAAGGAAGTGGGCTTTCTCAAGGCAATGAGTCTCTCCCAGGGAAAAACGGGCACTGACCCTCCCCACCCCCAAACCTCAAGCCTTGCCAATGGGTGTGCCTCACGGTTCCCTCAGTGTTCCTCCAAGGTCCTCAGGATTTCGTGGTCAGGAAGATTTCCAGGTTCCTTTGTGACAGAAAGCTGGGCCTGACCAGT